CAGACAACCAGATAACTGACATCTTATATAACTAGAAAATAATATTTTCATGATTTGTATCTAATAAAAACATACCTTTATTAGTTTATTTAAAATGGTAGATGAACTGCATGATTTTATCGGAATTATCTTGTCCCGGATTGTCACATTTCCAAGCCCCTGGTTAATTTTACAGGAACTTTAACACAGGTTGGCAGAGTGAAAATATCAAATTTGTAGTTTTAGATTTTAATCAGCGGTGGTATTATGCATGATGTTGTTTGTTGACATATTAAAGTTCTATTGTTCTTTTGTAAACAAACTGTTCATTTTTGACATAGGTCAGTTGCAGTCTTTTCGATTCGTTCAAACAACAAAATATTGACAATTACATTTTAACTCAGAACAAAAACATTTTTGCTTATTTCTAAAAACTAATTATACGCTATCAATCAATTTGCTATGTCCGTTTCAAGACATTCTAATTCACGCTTACACTTAATGTAAAACTTAATAATAGCCACAGTTCACAAGTTCGTAAAATTATTACATCTGAACATGAAACAATTCAGTTTTACACATTGTTTAATTACAAGTTCTTTGTGGTAAATTTCGTGTTCAGATTAACGTTTATTATCACTCGTAATTGTCAAAGATCATAAATCAAATTTTGCATTGTTCGGCAACTGTCAAATGAGCAATTCAAGTATTACCTGGCAACGATATATATTCGTTAACGGCAATCTAGACGGAAGAATAATTAAAATAATAATAAAACCTAATGTTTTTCTAATACATCAATGATATGACGTTATAAATGGCAAAACCCATTTTTAAACATCCTGTGAGTGCAGTGAATGATTTAATCAGTTTAAGGACATCAGATATCGGAAAATCTATTTTTATAAACTTAATCAGGTTTTGCATTAATGACGAAGAAGCAATGTTCTCAGATAACTTTATAATGTTTTATTATAAACAGCGTGTTTGATTCGAAATCAATACTGACCAATGTCTCGGGTTTCATGTCATGACAAATTATTTTATTTGAAATCTATCAAAATGCCAACTGCCAGTATATGACAACTTACTGACTTCTCTGAGAATGGTCCCAGCTGGTCAAACGAGACAAAATCATATCAATATCGGTTGCCAATTATTATTCACTGCGGAATCAATATTTTTGCAGCCAGTATCTAATTCCCGTCTATTAAAGTGTTATATCCTTTGGTTAAAGGCACGAAAAATCTAATTATCAACATTACCTGGTAAAAGACTGAGTTACGAAAATCGGAATAAAATGCTGTAAATTGAGTAATGTTTACGCCAGAATCGCATAAGATTGATACAAGTTCTTTTGTACCAAAAGCCACTTTCTAAATAGAATTGTGATTGAGAATTACAAATTACTGCTGAAATATTGGATTTTGTTAAACCTTTTACCAACTTATATAAGGTTACGACCAACGGAAATAGCCTCACTCGTACAATTTCATTTACTTAATCATACTATTATATTAGTAAACCCCTTGAGTTGAATAAAACTGATGCTAAATGCCATATAAAACACAATCTTCGAGTATATGATTGGATTATACTTGCAAATCATGCGCTTTATTTATGTATATAGCAGAAAATGAAACTGAAGTAGGCCTTCTTATCAAATATAAATTTCTATTAGTCTAAAATCCCACCAGCCCTATTGTAGAATTCCCTCCTTCAACCATGTCAATCAAAAAGAAATTCTTCAAGTGTACTCAGTACATTTCTGACAAATCATCTTCACATTCTTAAGGTTCACTCCATTAACTAGAAAATCATATAATTAATCAGTACTGTAGATAAATAACTGGGCAGAAAGTTAGAGCACAATTTACAACTTTTCTAGGAGTGATAGATACTCTAATTTCAAGTAATCCATCAAACCAAAATCTTCCAATTACCAAAAGATCAAATGAAAAATTCAAGAATAATTCTACAATTGAGTTCATATAGCTTGAAAGCATCCATAGACATTCAAGGGAAGCCTGCAAAGTAGACTAGGTCAGAATGTCATGGGGATTGAATTCCCAGAATGGAATGTGAAAAACTCAAGCAGGGATCATCTTCTCAACTTAAAATGTCAATCTACTAAAACATGTTTTGTGCCATTTCTCCTCAAATTTTGAAAAAAGTAGCTAATTTTCTTTAATTTCTACATAATTTTATATGTCAACTTTGTACCCGCAAATTCATTCCTCGTCAAATTCTCATTTTTTCACTTTTTGGAGCATTTCAACACATGACGCCTATGAAATAGAATGCACAGGAATACAAGCAGAGATGATCTAGACATTGTATTTCATACTTGGCCACGTCTGCTAATGAGTTTCCACTCTACTGCCCTAATGAGGAGTCACCCAGGGAGGGATGGGGTAGGGAAGAGTGAGCTGGGGTGCATTTGCTTTTTACTACTGAATGGGAAGTGTGATTTCAAGTTTTTAATAGTCTAAAAAATATCAATTGCTTATTACAAGCCCTTGGGTTATTCCACATCTCTCTTAACTAAGCTTTATTGAATAAATGCCACAATTAAATGGCATCAAAAAGCTACATGAATGAAACACAGGATTATGGATTATGAGTATCACACTTATAGGGATACCATTATGGCATGCTTGGATGATTTTGATGACCTAAATACATAAGCCACATAAAGTTCCATGAATTGGAACTGGCCCATAATGTCAAGGGAAATGAACATCTAGCAAGAACCAAGAAATTATTGCTTCAATGATTTTATTACACAGATGAAACAAGGACATATTAGTGTGTCTGAAATTCTGGCACCTATGATTGACTTTAATGGAGATATATGAAGCTGACCCATTAATAAGATCACATAGGGCAATTTTTAAAAACTAAAATTATTCTGAGAAGATAAAAGTTACAAACAATTAAATCAAACTGGTCAACCTCCAATGCTCCAAATACTATAAAATTCCATAAAGTTACACTAAATTTTCTAAATGTAAAAGAGAAATGAGTGGAAATGGTTTGAAAATTGTGACATTTTGGAATATGGGATTATACTGGTACCAGATGATCAATGGACCATAAAGGACAACCACAATGTCCTTTCATGTGGTCAATATAACATGTGTCAAACACTCTTTCAAATATGTCATGTGAGAAAATACCATGCATAAGGGCTTTAATGGCTAGCTGATGGGAATATAAGGTAGTAAGACAGACAAATGTGAAACAAATCTTATTAATATTTCTGTTTCTGCTTCCACCTGTATACTACTACTCATGATTGAAAACATGCTATGTGAAATTCATTCACATAGTGACTACCTTAAAGGAACATTCCTTGCCAGACTATTTCTCTCCTGATATGGTAGCTACAATCATATATATACTTTACATATTTAGCAAAACACCGGAAAATTTTTTCATATGGTCAATATTGATCATTTAAAAATGTAGTACTCATTCCCAGTAAGCTGCCATCTTTTCAGATTTCTTTCAGGAAGTGATGTCATCGACTCTCACCTGTTATAACCTTGTCTATTACAGTATAGGAAAGAAAATCACGTCTAAACAAGAAGCCCTTATCTTCTGTGTAAAAATATTTTCAGGAGTTGTCAACTTAGAACTAAAGAAGAGATCATCAAAAGGATTTTAATCATAGACCAAATTGAAAAAATATTCAGCTGGTTTAGTAATTCTAAGAGCTCCTTACCTAATGTTATATGCAAAGTTGAGAGTCGATGACATCACTTCCTGAGTGAAATTTTAAAAGATGGCAGCCTACTGGAATTGAGCACTACATTTTTAAGTGATCAATATTGACCATTTCAAAACATTTTCTGTTTTTTGATAAACTTGCAAAGTATGTATATGGTTATAGCTACCATATTAGGAGAGAGATGGTCTGGCAAGGAATACCCCTTTAAAGCAAATACCAACAAAGTTACAGCTAAAGTCACCAAGAATTGTTCAGAATCTTAGGGAAGCCCATCTTCGTTCACTCGGCTCCCGTAGGTCGCAGTGAAGACCGAGCGTGCGAAGATGAGGGAAGCCTGCCTTGGGATAAAATCTCTGGGATAAATCACAGAGGTATTTTCATGTTTGCATTAAAAATCAAACAACAGCTTGGATAAATCCATCAAGCCAGGCACTATCATCAAATTTCACATTAAATTGAGATAAAAAGTTTGTGACTTTTTAAAAGGTTCCTGGTTTTATATTTAGGGTGTAGGGTCATATCCCACACAGTAAGATAGCATCAACATTCAAATATTTACATGGACAAGGTTCACTTCATTACTGTTTCCTGTTAGTAGTGTATGTTAAGGAGGCACGGGATTACTTTGCGGTGTCTAAAAATGCGATGCCAGGAATGAGATACTGAGACTACTTTGCGGTGCCTAAAGTGAGATACCAGGAATGTGATGCCAGGGGTTAATAACATTTTTACTAATGATGAGATGCTTGCTTTTGTAGTAACCATAGTGATAACCTGAGGTTTGTGGTAGCTTCAATTTGAGACGCAACGTCCCAGTATATCATAAATATACTTGATTAAGAAAAAATATTCATAAATACTAGATCTCTTGAGGTTGAAACATGATTTCACAATTTTATATATACTTGAACAGCACTGATTCTATGGATACATATCCTTCTAACAATAATACCAAGTTCACAGTTAAATTACCTGAATATATTTCATTGAATCCTGATGAACAATGGCAGTGTGGATTGGTGGAATTGAGACATCCAACAGTATACGGGAGAATCGTAATGAATGTGATGTGCAATCTTTGTTACGGTACCATAGTTGGCGGTGAAAATATTCAGTTGTTAAGACAAGTACACGCTACCCAGGATGACATTTTCTACACTGGGAATTGTCAATCTTATAACCCTGTTCTTTATACACCCGTTATACCATCAGGATTCCAACACATATCTATCAGTATAAAAGAAGCAAAGGGTACCGAAGCTTTTTCATTTAACAACGATACGTTCTTTTGTGTGTTACACTTCAAAAAAGCGCATATTGTATAGACTTCAAGATGAGACTATCTAGTTACACACCAGATGATACTAAATGGGGGCACTTTTTCGCATCATCCGTGAACCGCAGTTTACCTATGAACTCTAAAAAATCTCAAAAGAACATTTCATTAAACGATAGCCGATATTCAATAAGAAACAACCAAGAAGGTGGGTCAACTATTAATTTAGTGAGCCCATCACAAGCTGTAGTGCAGAGAGCAAGTGCGGAATTGAAGAGAGGGAAAAGGTCGAATACATTTAAAAGATCTCTGCAACCTCCAGGTAGACCAAATCGATTAATTGACAGCAAACGACGTAGACCTATTAAAAGAGCTCCGCAAAAGAGGAAATCTGTGATAAAAAGAAAATCCAAAACAAACAATTTAAAGAAAAGATATAAAACTACCAGAGTCAGCGATATATTAACTAAGAAAAAACGAAATGGCGGAAAAGCTGGTAGGAAGTGATGAATCGTCATCCACAGAACTAATGCTTTTTAACACCCCATTAACTGATACAAGTATTTCTCGTTTTAAATGGGTGGAATATCGACCAACTTCGAGCCTCACCCATGGTAGTTGTGTGGAATTTAATATACCAAACAATGGTATGGACTATTTGAGTTTAAAACGATCTCGCCTGCATGTCAAAGTAAAAATAGTTCAGGCTAATGGTGATACTATGAATTGGGATCCAAGTGACATACAGGGACCTAAAAAATGCGGTCCTATTAACTTGCTTTTACAAACATTATGGAATCGTATTGACATTCAAGTTCAACAAAAATCCATTACAGAGGCCACGCCTGATTTTGCGTACAAAGCTTATCTGCACGTACTACAAAACTTTTCTTCAGCAGATAAAAAGTCATGGATGCAGGCGCAGGGCTACAGAAAAGATGACATGTTTCCCGCTACAAATAATGTTTGGACAGGAGGAAACCAAGGACTATTAATGCGATATATGGATTATAGAAACAGCCGAGAAGTAGAACTAACTGGACCGATATATGAAAGTTTTCTTCAATCGGATCGACTGCTTCTCAATGGAGTTGAAGTCAAAATAAAATTATGGCCAAATAGCAGTGAATTTTGTTTAGTTTCCGATGATCCACAAAAATGGCGGTTAATTGTAACAGATGCTTACTTCGAGGCTTGCATGGTAGAAGTTAATCCCGCCGTTATTAAAGCACACAACGAGGTGATGCTTCGAACGCCTGCTATATATCCTTACCAGGATGTGGAAGTCAAAGTGAAAAGCCTAGCATCAGGCAACTTTAACTTTTCTTGGGATAACATATTTCAAGGACGCATACCCTCTTGCCTCACTGCTTTTTTCGTATCAGCCCGCGCCTATGCTGGTACATATGACACAAATCCGCTGTACATGGATCACTTCAACCTATCCAGTCTAACAACTCAGGTGGATTCTCAAGATGTACCTTCGAAACCACTCACATTAAAATTTTCCAGCGATCTAATTGAGAGTGAACAATATCTGTCGGCATATTTGAGACTCTTTGAAACATCATTAACAAATCACGACAACAATACTGATATCGAGGCGGACGATTTCAAATCAGGATTTTCGATATTTCGTTTCCAGTTGAATGCGGCAGACGAAAATAAAACTGTGTTCCCGTTACTTAAAGGAGGGCAACTGAAACTTGAAGGACGCTTTGAGACTGCCCTACAAGAACCGGTGTGCGTGATCGTTTTAGGAACATTCCATCGAATACTGGAGATTGACCGCTTTCGCGGTGTTACAGTTACATAATGAATACGTATCAATTGGAGCGAATCATGAATTCGGACGCTTGTCTGCGCTTAAAAACCCACGGTGTATACGCACTGGATGAGCTACCTACAAAAGTTACGAAAAGACCATCCTATTTCATTGTTAACACACAGGATAGTTCGATGGTTGGAGAGCATTGGTGTGCATTTGCGTTTTATGATAACGCACCAGCAGAGTTTTATGATTCCATGGGACATTCGCCTGACTATTATAATTCTATATTTCAAGATATTCTTGTGAACAATAGTACGCATTTTTTATACAACAACACTAGAATTCAAGGACTAGACACAACGTGTGGTCATCACTGTGTATACTATTTAAATAAACGATGTAGGAAAACTAGCATGAGATGTATTGTCAATTCATTTTCAAAGCACAATCTTAGAGAAAATGATGAGTTTGTCAAGTATTTTCTAAAAGTGAAGTACAATGATATTATGCTCACCCTCCCATCAACAATTTTATAATTGTACTTTTAATTTTAATAAATATAAACACAAAACAATTATTCTGTTCACTTGTTGAAGTTACAACCTTACGATGACGAAGGCTATTAAAAAGACTAGAAGTACTAAGAAAAAGGTATTATCAAGTTCCATGAAAAGAGCTCTGAAATCGGCCTATTACACGTTAGGTAGACTCGGCTCGTTTTCGAGTCCAATTCGTCTGTGGAGACAAGTTAGGTCATTGGGTATCACTCAAGCTCAAGTCAAGAGCTGGATTAACAATCAAGAGTCTTATGCATTGTTCAGAAAACCTAAGAAAATTAAGAATCGTCGCAAAATTATCGTTTCATCCATGTATCAAATGTACGATATGGATCTAGCTGATTTGAAAACATATTCAAAGTATAATTCAAAGATCAGCTATTTGTTAGTGATTGTTAGCGCGCTTTCCCGTTACATGTGGGTGCATCCCTTAACATCGAAAAGAGGTGGAGAGGTTGTCAAGGCACTTGAAGCGTTAAAAAAGGATATGCCTACTCCGCTACAGATAAGAAGTGATCAGGTATGATAGTTCACTGTTGGTGTACATATAGATCTGGCGAGAGAAAATAGAATTACTATATCAAAGCAACTCATCTTGCAATTGTATTAAATATTCTACAATATTCTAACCTAGATGATGATTCTGTTTCAGGGTGGAGAATTTGTGAATAAATCTGTCAAGGATTACTTGAAACGTGAAAAAATTGATCATATCTTAGCGTTTGGGAACATGAAGGCATCGATTGCGGAAAACGGAATTAAACGATTGAAGGAACGATTGGTGCGTTACATGTACGCTAACAACACCTTCAAGTATCTAAGCAGTCTTCCAGATATTGTAAAGTCCATCAACTCCTCATACATGGAATCAATTGGCATGGCTCCTTCTGAGGTGAACATATCCAATCAAGATAAAGTTTGGTATAAACTCTATTACGACTCATACACCAAACAACCTTTGGAATTTAAACCAAAATTTAAGGAAAATCAAACTGTGCGAATTTCATTGGAAAAGAGTGCTGATTATACTCCAGGCTACCTGATGTCCTGGAGTCAAGAGTTATTCATAATAACCTCAGTAAATCGGACTGAACCGCCAACCTATGGGTTGACAGATCTTAATGGTGAAATAATCAAAGGAGCCTTTTACGAATCGCAGCTGCTTGCTGCAAACGTTGAGAGGAATCAACTTTTTAGAATAGAAAAGATCTTGCGTAGGAGACGATTCAAGGGACGCATGCAAGTGCTTGTACGTTGGCTTAATTACTCGAGTAAATTTGATAGTTGGTTAAACGAAAGCCAATTGAAAGATTTCGAATAAAAACCAATGGCAGTACAACAATGACCAATTAATAAGAAATCATCACAGCATACAATATCATCCTCTACTACTCATTCCCTCCTCCTCTCCTCATTCCCTCCCATCCTCCTTATTCCCTCCTCTCATTCTCTCCTCCTCATTCCCTCCTCACCACTCCTCCTCCTAAATCCCTCATCCTCTATCCCATTCCCATTCCCTCCCCAACCTCATTCCCTCATGCTCTTCCCCTCCCTCATTCTCTCCTTTTCCTCATTCCCCCCTCCCCCTCCTCACTCCCTCCTCATCATCCTCATTCCCTCTTCCACCTCACTCCATTCTTTTCCCCCTCCTCTCATTCTCTCATCCTTGTTTCCTTTACTCCTCATTCCCTTCTCCTCCTCATTCCCTTCTCCTCCTCATCTACTCCTCTCCTTCTCATTCCCTTCTCTTCCTAATCTCACCTACATCAAATAATCGTGTTATGTCTCTGTACTAGGCTACTAAAAAGTAGATTCAGATATAAGTACATTAGTGATTAGTTGACATCTTCATTTAAACAAAACTCTTAAAAGACAAACACCATGTTTAGCTGTAGAGAATGTTCGAAGCAGTTTTCTCGCAAAGACAATACGATTCGTCACATGAAGATTGTACATGGCTGTAAGCTAACTAAAAACGATCATATATCTAAAGGACAGTATGGAATGGGATCTTATTCTTCGACAAATCAGGTTATGATGTCAACAGGAGATATTTCAAAGGTGCTCTACCATCCATTCACAATGATGGTGGTTGGCCCGACAGGTTCAGGGAAATCTACATATGTAAAGGAACTGATTGAGCATGCTGGTACTAGAATATCTCCAACACCACAAAGAATCATATGGTGTTACAGTCAATGGCAACCTCTATATGATGACATCAAGACAATCAGCTCAAATATTGAATTTATGATGGGGATACCAGACGAGCTGAGTAACCCAGAGTTTTTGGATGTGAATCAGAGGAACATACTGATCTTTGACGACTTAATGGGTGACATAACAAAGGATACAAGGATTACTGATTTGTACACGCGTGGATCACATCACAGAAATCTAAGTGTGATTTGCTTGATGCAGAATCTGTTTCCATGTGGAAGAGAAAGTCGCACTCTCAGTTTGAATTCCCACTACATTGTGCTGTATAAGAATCCTAGGGATCGTCAACAAGTATCTGTTTTGGCCCATCAGATGTACCCTGGAAAGTCTCACAAGTTATTGGATTCATATGAGAAGGCTACACACCAACCTTACAGCTACCTGTTAGTAGACCTCAAGCAAGAAACTCCTGAGAGTATGAGATTGTATAATCCTACCACAACTACAAATATAATGCTGCAAAAGCCATTAGCAAAACAAAATCAGGATGAATCAAATCAATCGCAACAGCGTGAAAGTAATGCAAATGTACTTCACCATGAGCTACCAGAAACACCTCAAACGCATGAAAAGGATACAAGAATGCATGATATAAAAACTGGACCTTCTCCTTGTTTGTCTCCTCATTTAATCTCTGGCGGATGTAACAATATGGTATCATGTGATAACTGTGGTTTAGTCTTTGACAGCGTACACGATTTGCAACGTCACATCAGGAATTGGTGCCAAGAGCAAGGTCAATTGCCCAAGAAAATGAAGATTGAAACCACCTCACAAATAGGACAAGATTCTTCCCGTGAAGAAGATGCTGATCTTACATTAAATGAAATATTTGTATATTTAAAAAACAAGGCTAGAAGTGATAATGAAAAAGATTATAATCATAAAGTAAAGGAGTATATGGATAGGGGAAACAATGAAAAGGAAGCTATGGAAAAGGCTGAGAAGAAACTTGTACGAAATGATAAGGAAAGATTTATGAAGCACTATAAGAAGGTCTTAAAACAAGTTTTCGGTTTAGCAGACAATGCATTACACAGAAATATTGTAGATGCAGTGAATGATATGTTGATGAGAGGTGTCTCTAGAGATCTTGCAATCAAAAAGGCACTTGTGAATAATGAACATAAGTTTAATGAGCTATTCATAGAAGATACAGATGATGATGAAAGCAATTCTGAAGCAAAGTCTACTGATGATGAAGAGCAATCTTATAATAATGATGAAAGCAATTCTGATGAAGAATCTACTGATGAAGAGCAATCTTATAATAATGATGAAAGCAATTCTGATGAAGAATCTACTGATGAAGAGCAATCTTATTATAATGATGAAAGCAATTCCGAAAGTAATAGTACTGATATGACCAGCATTTAACATGTAAAGAAACTTATGACATAAATATAAGAGTAAATGTACATTATAAAACAAAGTGTTATGTCATTGTTTTGTTATTTATGTTACAAAAGAAACCTCGTGCTTCAAAAAAATGTGATCACCATCACTCTACGAAAACACAGAGATCATAATATGTGCATCCTTTCTTATTCAATTCATTTCTTATCCATCTAAGATGAAAGTCTCACCTATGCATCGTTTCTTATTGAGTAGTAAAATAAACAAATTATTCTATGTTGTATCAAGGAACAACTTTTATTAATTTCCAAACTACACGATTCTCATATATGAGAGTATGTGTACAATATGTTGTAATTATATTTAAAATACAATTGTGTAGGTAGAACTTATCAAACAGATGTAAATATTATAGAACAGTTTAATTTAACGTTGTATTGATATTATATTGCAACTAGACAACAGCAACGCCAAAGCGTAGCAAATCCCATCGAACAGCCATGGCTGCCATTTTTACAAAATCCTTCTACTACTTTTTCAGTTATAGCAAGAATCGTACATAAACACACATAAAAATGGCTACCATTTTCAAAATGCTCGCTAAGTTGCCAAATTGTCAAAAGGACAATTGCTTCTAGAAAGGCACATATAAAATTTCAACAAAATCGCACGCATGTACATGTAAATGGCCATTTTGAAAAATTGCCTCCTACTAGCCGAAGTGTCATAAGATATTGTGCCATGCTTATGAGTATTCACATATCAAATATGAACAAAATTGCTCTATTACTTTTCGTGTTATAGTAAAAAACTTAAAATAAAACACGTAAAAATGGTGGCCAAAAACCCCAAAACCAAAGTGTCAATAGACAGGGTGCCATGCTTATAGTATTCGCATATCAAATATGAACAAAATCGCTCCACTACTTTTCAAGTTATGGGGAAAAAACGTAAAATAACACACGTAAAAATGGCGGCCATTTTTCAAAATGGCCACCTACTACCCAAAGTATCATTAGACAGTGTGCCATGCTTATGAGTATTCAAATATCAAATATGAACACAATCGCTCCACTACTTTTCAAGTTACAGCAAAAATCGTAAATAGCGTGTAAGGGCCGCCATTTTACAAGTTGGCTGCCGTGTGTTTCTTAAATATCTACATTTCTAGCTTTATTATGTCCTTTATAACTTCTTTACATTTAAAACACATTGCTATTACAGTTTTATATATTGTACCTAAATTACTGTAAAATCGGCATTGAAATGGCCGCCATTTTGAAACGAGTGGCCATTTTGAAAATCGGCTTTCGAGTAGAACCTCTACCGCCATAGGGCATATTTGTACAAAA